CGTGACGCTTACCAGCACATGAACAGAGCGCTCCTGACAGCAGTCGGGAACCAGCATGGGCTTTTATAGATGATAGATGCCGCTGATGTTTGGGCCCATTGGAAACTGCTGCTGCTCTCCTCACGGGGAGAGTTGGTTTTACTCTCCGCCTCTGAATTCTACAGGAAAGCTGCTCACCCACATCCTCCCGGTCACGCTGCCTGTTGCTTTTGCTGTGGTGTCTGGTGGGCTGTGTCCTGTTTCTGCTGCTCCTTTCACCAGAGCTCTTCCCTAGAGCAGGGCTCCAGCACCTCCTAATCTGCTCAGAGATGAGGTCCCTCACTAATGGCATGGACCTGGTCCCTTCCTCTGGGGAGAGAGGGGACCTTGCAGCATTGGCCATCATGCTCTGGTCCATCCCACCTCCATCTCAGCTGCTTTCCCACCTGGCTCCAGCAGTTTTCCCCCAAATGTACCTACCTAATGAGGGATGTTCTCTCTTCCCATGGGTCTTGCCTACCTTTATTTCAGTGCACAACAGGCAGAGGAAACCCTGGCTTCTCTGTGTAGTCCATCTAAGCCCACTCTGACCCTGGATAGCGTGGTTCTGCCCCCACATCTCCCCCCACTTCTCTAGTGCTGGCCACAGCGGGCAGGTGAGAGCCAATTTAGCTCAATAATCCAGCTGAAATCTAATCCTGCAGCACCAAAACCACAAATAATTTGTTCTCAGCCAACTCAGCGGGCTGATCCAACTCGCCCCACAAGAGCTGGTGCTGACACGAACCCGATCACGCCTGCTCTCAGGCCGCACGGTGCAAGCTCCCTGCGTGGTACAGGGCAGTCCTGGGTGGCCTTCGTTCATGCTTTATACCCTATGACTCCTTAAACCAAAATGCTCAGAGCACCCTGGGAGCAGGGACCGACCTCAGGCTGCTGAGTTGGAGTCAAGGATGCTCCAGCCTTGGCCTTCAAATGCATCTCCTGATGCAACATGCCCCATGCCAGGGGTGAGCTGAGGGAGGGCCCGCGTCACTGCAGGACAGCTCGTCCTGCCTCGGTGGCCTCTGCCACTCTTTCAACCGCTGGTTATTAATTCAGTATGAGCCTTTGAGTTATGGATATAATTCACATTTAATCTGGCAACGGTTTACAACATCACACAATATGGTAGTGAAGAGGAGAAAAAAAAATCTGTGTCCAGCAGTGATTACTGCAGCATAACAAACTCCAGGTAGGACTAAATGAAACCCAGTTTTGCAGTGGGCCCAAGGGTCACTAAATCCAGGCTATTTTGGACTCAAAACTAGGTGGGGGAGTGAGTGGACTGGAATTTGTTTAAAAGGACATTAACCTCTTTGGTAGTATCCTGTCCTCTCCACTACCAGGCATGAAAAACCCCAGAAAGACTGATAGCTTTAAGAAATTAAGCATGTCTGTCTCCAACTTCATGTGTGTTGCATTCAAGTAAGACAAAGAGGCAAATGGCGACAAGTAATTGGCCTTTTCCAGATTATTTTACTTTTAATAGTCTAACATTTTGTTAGTAACATAGTTGGCACTTCAAAATATATATTATTTTATTTCAACAATATTCCCTTAACTCTGTAGTTGTACTTGAAGAAAAAAAAAATCACCTTTTGCCATAAATACTGTGTTGCTGTTCAAAACACTCTTGTCTGCTTGTGCTGGGTTACCTCTACAGTGCAACTGGGACCAGGCTAACATTTACAACTGTTTCTACGGCCACTTCCTCTGTGTTAAAAAATGACATTTTTCTATAAAAACACAAACAAAGAAAGTTTTACTGCATAAAAAAAAAAAAAAGCCCTACTGTCAGTTGAGCGTATTTCCACTGTCATCGGCAAAAGACATCCTCTGAGGTCCCTTTGAGCAGGTTTCACTTTGGGTTAGAGGGAAATCTGCCATTCGGCAGCTTCTTTCTCCTTCACAGGATGAGAGCCAGGCTTTGAATGCAAAGCGACCTGGCTGCGAGCCAGGCACACAGGCAGAGTAGTGTTCATGTATTTTTTATTATAATACAAAAGGCAAGTCGAGTTACGTAACATGGGCCTTTGTAGCTCAGCTTGCTTTTTTAGCCTGCAACAGATAAGAGGAGAACTGTGTCCCCATTTCAGACTTCATTCGGTGAAATATGGCTGACATCTGAAGTTGCAAGAAGTCACCTGGCATCTGGCCACTGATTTCGGGGGGGGGTGGATTTGTTTTTGCACAGATTTTGAGTGTTTTGTCCCGATGTCTGACCGAGCCCAACTCAAGAGCTGTACTTTGCTAAAAGGGAGTCCCTATCCTCTCGTTGAAAGCAGAATTAAAAAATCACATTAAATAAAGTGAACTAAAAACACAGCTGGATTGGTCAAATGGGAACAAAAAGATTAATCTCAACAGCAGCATTGGGGTGTTTCCAGCACGCAGAAGGGAGAAGATTGATGGCTATTTCACATCAGGGGTCCTCTGGGGCACCGTGTGCCGCTCCAGAGAAGGCACTGCAGATTTGACGGGACCCTGACGTTGGCAGACTTCGCATGCTGAATTCCTTCTACATCTGTGATGAGGTTCGCTGTGCCCTGAAAGAGCTGAGCTGCTAATCACAGTCCTGGATATCGATGTACACAAAGAGGGTGGAGGAAGAGTATGGGTCTCCGTTCTTGGTCAGAAGATGGATGTGGCGGTAACCTGGAAGCGAAGACGCAGATGGCAAGTGGCCTTTAGTCCAGTCAGAAAAACATTTGCTAACGTTTGCCAAGACCCTGCAAAAACATCTCCCTGTCTCTCAGAGCGGTTTGCTCCCAGTACCCCACAGAACAGGTAGGTCTGAGAGGCGTGGCCTTGAGCATTGGTAACGTAACATGCCTGAGGCTGCTGGGGACAAGGGGAGCCCTAACCCAGAGGCAGTAAACAGCTGCCCAATAAACCATTCATCATCTTGTCCGTACCCCAGAGAGACAACCTGCTCTGACCCGAGGTGTGATGGGTCTGAACCTCTCATCTAGGACACTGGAGCTTCCCAGAGGTCTCAGGGGTTGTGAGAAACAGGGAACGGGGCCTTACCTTGCTTCAGACTAGTAAAGGGAAGGGTGTACTGCCCAATGAAGTCGTTCTTGGTTGACACGTCAAAATCTTCCACCACAAACCGGACCAGGGCAAGTGCAGGGATCTCTATGTCAAATGTAAACTCTTCGTCCCATTTTGGGTTAAAGCCTGGGCAACAAAGACAAGGATGGAGGTCAGAGCTGCTCACAAACGGGGAAGGAGGTGGGAGATGCTCACAGGCAAGGATGGAGGTTGGAGATGTTGGCAGATAAGGATGGAGGTCAGAGATGCTTGGAAATGGATGGAGACTTCGCCTGACTGCCAACCTAATCTGACCCAGGCCAAAGGTCTCAGGAGGTGCCGAGACCATTGTTCCCAGTTCTGACACTGATTTGCCTCCTGGTAATAAATGCTTCAGCTTAGGCTGCTTATCGCAGACCTCAGCACCACACTCCCAGAAGGCAGCGAGGAGCAGGGGGGAGGTGAACTCAGCTCTGCTCCACAGGCTCTCACTGGTTGATACATGGATGTCTTTGGTTGACATTGGACCAGCTGCAAATTTTTACAGAGCTAAACCAAGGGGGGGGCAGAGAGGAGAACTGTGCCTTTGTGTTGTGACAGCCTCACTGAGTGCTCGAGGTACACCCATCTGTCACCACTCTGTGCCTCAGTTTCCCTGTCTGCAAGAAAGGTTAATGAGGAGTGTCTGATTACAAAAAGCATCATCAGATCTGTGGACAAAAGGTTTTATGTCTCCCTGTATAAGGGCAGTGTCTGAGACAGCCAGACTAGCCCCACTTCTGTTATGGATAAGGTTTTTCTGATCTGGACTCACAAAGCAAACAAAACGGAGACTGTCACATCAGATGAGAGATAAAGAGCAAGCTCAGTGCTCTCTCTCCAGGTCACGGTGGGTGCTCTCTGCAGTTTCAATAAACCACTCCCCAAAAACAAACAGGAGGAGAGGACATCCTGTTTGAACCCTGCTGCCACTGGCCCAGCCTGTGTGGAGTGGAAGCCCACGGACAGCGAAACATCAGCTCAAGCCTGCTGCTGGTCATGGAGGGTTTGTGGATGATTCGGCGGGAGGCAGGGATCTTTCAGTTGGCCCTGAAGGTGCTGAGAAGGGCCTGTGGACAGTGCCATATTCAAAATACCTGTGCTGGGTCGGTGCACTTTATTTGGACTTTCATGGGATTAAATCAACTGGACTGTTCAGATAACACACATCTGCTCCTGACCCCCCTTCATCCTTGGGGAAGAAAACAGTGTTGCTGATCCCATGGGAGCAGAAATCATGAAAGTTGAGGGAAAGTCGTTGGCCCTAGGACAGTAGGTTTCACTGTACTGACACCTATGGGGGATTTTCAACCCATCTCGGAGCCACAGTGAGACACTTATTGCTGCTGAGCCAGCAGGTTCCCACAGCCTCTCGAGCTCCACAGCTGCACCACCAGGGCCTGATCTGTGCCCACAGCCCATGCTTCAGTCCCACCAACATCAAACCAGGTGAGCTGCTGAAGCATGGTCACGTATCTGAAACCTCAGCCCATGAAATGCAACACCCTCTCTGCAGCTGCCCCTTTCCAGCAGTGATGTTTTCATGGTTTGATTCACTTTCCATTGGGCAACACTCATTCCAGCATCCCTCCAGCATCTTTCCAGCCAGCCAAGGGCTGGCGGTGGGGCTGGGGGTGCTGAGCAGCCCTGAGGAACAGGCGTGGCAGGTCTGAAACATTCCCCACACAGCTTTCACACCAGACTTTATAAAAATCATTGTAGGTGACGGAAATGGCTGTGAGCTTTAGGAGCCGGGACAATTTACTCAAACAGGAAAGAGGAAAAGGGAAACATTGTTAGCAGGGAGGAAAATATGCATTGGCTTTCTAGCACTTGGCTCTTACGCCACGCAGAAAAGCAGTGTGTGTGTGTGTTTGTGTGCATGTATGGGTGTGTTTGTCAGCAGGAGGGTGAGGGCTGATTTTTCAGACTCCTACTGCCTCTTTACTCCCACAGGAGAAAGGGCTGAACTTGCCCTCTACGATCTCTGAAGGCCACAGTATTCAGACCCTCACTGCATGGAGGGAAATCACAGCCATGTTTGACCGATGAGAAATGGTCCACGGGGAGGTGAAATGTCTGTGAGATCTCTGAGGTCAGTGCTGGACAAGGCCTGAGCCCAGCTCTTTGGAGACAGGAGCTCATGGTTTTCACCCCTCACCTGTAACATTGCTGTAACGTGCATTAATTTAGCACCAGTGCCACTTTGGCCAAGACGACAAGCAGATGCAGCGTCCCTGCCTTGTAAGGAGGCTCTGAGGTACAGGAAATGTTCTCCTTTTGCACAGACTATGTTACATACAAGAAGAGGCTGAGAGAGGTCAAGTTACTCTACCTGGAGAAGGTTAAGGGGGTTATTATTGCCATCCTCCACTACCTCCTTATAAAGAAGGTAGAGCCAGGCTCTTTTTACAGGTGTACAGCAAAAGCTTGATGCATAACGGGCACAAATTGCAACAGGAGAATTTCTGGTTAAAGATAGGGAGATCTTATTTTATCATGAGGTCAGTCAAAGACTGGATCATTTGAGAGAGCCCAGAGAGTCTGGGGAATCTCCATCTTTTGAGATATTCAAAATTCATCTGGGCAATACCCTGAGCAACTTGAGTTGACTTTGAGGATGGTCTTGCTTTGGGCAGGGGCTGGAACAGACACCTCTGCAGTCCCTTGCAACCTCAATCTTTTGTGAGTTTATGACACTTTCAGGATGAAATCAGCCTCATAAGAAGCCTTCTCTAGGAAGATCTTAGTGGGGACCTGTGCGTCCCAGGTCAAGTCCAACTGCATGAAGGTAAGAAGCACTTCCAAAGCTCTAGCTCTGCAAATGTGGCAGCTAACCTCAAAACAACTCATATGGTTGATGATGTTTTGTAGGAAATTTCTGTCTCCAAACATCTTAGAGAGAGAAGAGAGGAAAGAACCCTTGAAAGTAATTCTCCATAGGGCCATCAGTCTGTGGGGCTAGTTCATGCCACCAGCAGTCTATAACCAGGGTCCCTGCACTGAAGTAGGCCAACAGCATCTCATGTACCTGCTTAGAGTGGCAGGCTTGGGTGCACCCGGGCAGGTCTGGCCACAGGGCAGCAGTCTTGGCAAGGAACAGTCTGCTACATGAAACCACAGGGTTACTGCCCCAGGGGAGCACAGCATGGAAGAAAATCCCTTACCATTGTTTTCAACGACTTTAGTCTGCTTCTTGTTGTTATCCTGTTGGACACCGTGGATCTCTACCGTTACCTTAGGATCAACGATGGAGTTTTTGCTTTTGTTCACCTTGGGCAGCTGCTGACCAGAGATGATCTGTGGAGGAAACAGAGGAAGAGGTCAGGACGTCATTAGGCGGGGGGGCTCCCTGGCAAACTTGCCTCTCCTTCTCCAGGAGTGCAGGGCCTGTTGTGACAAGCTGGTGCTGATCTTTCAGAGCCAGCGTTGTGATATCCTTCAGAGGAAGCTGTCATGAGCCAAAGCACCTGATGAACATTGCTCCAGCCCAGCCAGCTGGCTAGGGGGCAGGTAACTTTTCTAACTGTCCCCACAGTGATCAGATGATACTTGGAAAAAACAGTGGTGACTGTTGATGGCATGTCTGCCTGTATGTTTCTGTAACGACAGTGAATATTGTCATTAATCTCTCCTAGTGCCAAACATTAAACATGTGATTAAGTCCCTGGAGGATGACAGCCCATGCAGGACTGAAGCTGAGACCCCAGAGGCGGGAAATGAGTAGGGTTACGATAACATTGCCCAGGTGGCACCAGGAGAAGGAGAAGGTACAACCTACACAACCCCCCTGAAGGTGGATGCTACTGAGACATTTTCCAACTTCTATTCTTACTTTAAGCAGAAGCTTCTTCTTTGTCCCCCATGTTCCTTCTGTGATGGATTTTGGATTGAATTTGGTTTGCTCATCCCGGAGGAATTCCGGCTTTAAGACATACCCAGAAAACCCATTGTCCTGGAACCGACCCTGGTAGACATCCATTTCTGTGCCTGCTGTCTGGAAATTTAGGGCAACTGCAACATAAATAAATAAATTCAGTTACTTTCAAATAAATCAACAGGAGTATTTTTATACTAATTCTATTCACATGAAATTGCACTTCATGGACATAAACATTGGTTTTTCCATGCTTCAAAGAGCAGTGATAAACTCTGACCTTCACAGTCTGCTACCCCTGAGGATTTCTTGCATTCAGAGATGTTAGAGACAGGAGGAGCCACTACAGCCATCTCAGCTGTCCTGCCTGCCACAGGGTCAAAAAGTGTCCTGCATTGAATTTCTGTCACCTGGTTGGGCAACTGCATCTTTTAGATAAACCTATTCATTTCTATGCTGAAGGAGTTATCTCCTGCAGTGAAGCCAGCAAGTCCTTCTCAGATTGTTTCTCTGGCTACTTAGCCTCATTATAAAACCTCCTTTCCAGCCCAGATATGCCTATTTCCATTTGCCATCCTGAGGGGCATTGATGCCTCTGCTGGTTAGACTAGAGAGGTCCTCAGTGTCTGAACTCCTCATGCAGGAGTACAGAAGCTGTGATCAAATCATCTCTTTATTGTCCCCTGCCCAAAATAGATCAAGCCTCACTGGTGTCCTAACACCAGGCAGATTTCTTGTACTCTTTCCATTTTGCCACTGCCTTTTTAAAAGCATTGATGTCAAATCTGGAAGCAGTTTCTGTGAACAGTCTTATAATACCACATAGGGAGCGCACATGGACCCCAGTGCCTCCTCAGTACTCCATTGATTTCTCAAGGGTGATGCTAAACTCTTTAGCAACTTCTAAGACAGCTCTAGGACAGATGGCAATTTATCCAGGTCCTGGGTCCTACATGCCCTGTAAAAATTGAAGGCCAAAAGCATTTTAAGGCACTCCCCTGTTTTTCCACCTGCAAGCAAGACTTTAATAACTGCAGTATACTGGTTTTACTGGGGGCTGCAAGTACTCAAATCTTCTGCAAAATCTTATTTTGGGTGCCCAAATACTGAATTCAAGGCAGATAAGGCATGCAAGTCTGGCCTCAGCATACCCCGAGGGACCTGATGTTGCCTCCCAGGGACATTCCTGAGGTCAGATTCAATGCTGCAGAGACAGGCCCATAAGTGATACCTGTGTCCGCACGGGGGCTGCAGGACCCAGTGAGTTCACATGCTGCCAGGCACATCCAGCCCATGCAGGTCCACACAGCTGGGGGCCAGGGAGCCCTGTATTTGCAGTTTCTCTTGTCTGGCTGGGCCACATAGGCACAACTGGGACATCTCCAACATCTAGCATCACCAAGAGAGCCAAGCATGCCATCACCAGCCTGCCCACTTATCACTGCGCCAGGTTTCCTGGATGAGAGCTATAACATAATTCACTTAACAGGCTCTGGGACCCTTGTTTTGATCAAATCTCTGAGATATCAATATACCATCAGGGTTTCAATGCCGCGGGAGTAGGTATGATGTGCTGCTTTGGCTACAGGGAACAGCTCAGGCCACAGCTTGGCCCTTATGGTTATGGCCTTGCTCTAGGGCTCGAGAGATCTGAGTTTGATTTCCATCTCTGCCAGAGATTTCAGCATGCTTTTCAGTAAGTGACTGTAACTCCTGGCTCCCTCTTCCTTTGTTAAACAGCAATAACTCTGCTTCCAGTGAAATTGCAGGGAAGTGCACATTAATGTGCAGCAAAGGCTCTCCTAATGGTTTTGAGGTGGGCCAGAAAATGGTCTATGAAAAGTCATTCAGCATTGGCTGAAGAGCTGATCTCTCCCAGTGACCACTGAGCCTCTCTGCCTACAAATGGCTTGAGATTGCACACCTACCTCAGTTGAAGCCCCGCCACAGCCAGGTCATGTGTGACCCAGCCAGGTCAACCCTCTCTGACCTCCCAGTTGTACTCACCGATCTGGCAGCCGACGTTCCACAAGTCAACGGGGCTGTAGTTGGAAGAATCTGTCCTCCAGCCTGCAGGGTAGATCCGGCTCAGGTGCCTGATGTTGTGATGAATAAAACTGGTTCCTACAGAAAAAAAGAAGAAAATGGCCCTTTCAGTGATGGGGGCTACTTTTATCTCTCCTTGACGCTGCTGTACATACAGGTCCTCCACCTAGCGAGTCTGGCTGAATGTGAACTACCTGTATAAAATGCCCTTCTTGGTAACAGCCTCTATGATATTAAGTTATTCCCAGTGTTTCTCAGTGCCATGCATGACCAAAGAGATCATAACCCACATCTTTCAGGATGCCTTTTCCTCATGCTTAACCACCACTAGCTGTCCCTTTATGAGCGACTGGGACAGAGGATGGCCTTCTGCCAGGGCAGAACATACATACCAGACTCCTGGGCTAGTTTCAGAGCTTTGCTCTCCGTGAATGATGACATCTCGTAGAAAGCCCGAGGATGGCTGGGGTCCTCAAAGCCATTGAAATGGACACTCTTGCAGTAGACAACTGTGTCTGACAGCTCTTTGGCCAGCTTCAAGGTGTCACTCTAAAAGCAGGAGAGGAAGAGGTTTGTGGGGAGTCTCTGAGGTCATACTCAAAAATAATAATAATGTTTCGTCTAGGATCCCTGGGGCTTCTCTTTTCCACCATCTTCACATGAAAAGGATGCACACTCTCAACACTCAGGAGCACCCCTATGCAGAGAGAGGGTGGAAAAGGGGCAGGCTGCCCTTGCCATGTCCCTTGCCCTGCATGGAGAGTGCTAATCCCTCCTCTCAGAGCATCACTGCCCTCTCAGGTGCATCCTGGCCTGTCCAATGATACCACTGACTTCCCAAGTGTTACTACCAAGAATATTTTGTTTCATCTGGGCCATCTCTCCTTCTGCATTTATTTGCATGTTGTTATGTGAATGAGTATTTCAGCTCAACTATCACAACTCACAAGTGATTAGGGCTACAAACACAGGAACAATCCAGTCAGCGTACTGGTGAGCTAAGAGAGGATTTCACACAAGAGTTGCTTTGCTGTCCCAGCACCCTTGTTGCATGATGTTCTCCAGATGGATTCTCTCTTTGTTGGTGGGCTACCCTTTCTGCTGCCTTCTGCATGATCACTTGTATTTCAACATCAATGGCTACCTCCAGTTGCTAAACTTTACAACGAGTTTTCCATACTGTCCTGGTGCCAGGCATGCAAACCTGAAAATAAGGGGAAGGGAAGGATGTGTTTGCCTCCACAGAGCCCGAGCTTTTTTCTCTTGAACTAGGAAGTTCTCATAATGTAGGTGCCTCCTACTCCACAGCCACATTCATTGGTGCAAGGGTGAACTGAGAGCCACCAGCTCCCATCAGAGGCCAGGAAAGAAAATGATAGACTTCAAAATTATACACATTATTGACTACAGTTCAAAGAAAGAAATAAGACCCTCAAAGAGTGAGCAAATCAGCAAGGGGAAGCATAGATCAGACCAGATCCAGAGGCAATGTCAATCAGCTTTGCCATCAGTGGGACTGAATATATTTATGTCACCTATGAACCTAGTCCATAAGAGATACGACCTTCACAATGACCTGCAGTCTGGAAAGATGACTGTCCTCACACGAGGGAGCACAACACTGGTGTAAAGACCAGCCTTCTACTCCCAGAAATAGTTATCCAAATTGCTTTGGTAACCAGCCACCCCTTCCCCATAGATCCGTAGCTCTTCCCTTCCTGCCTCCTCCAGGTCAGAAAAATATGGCTGGTGAGGGTCCAGGTGTGTCCCAAAATGTGACTAGAAAAGCACCAGCCTCTGGTAACAAACAAATTCATGATGGTCCCATGACAAACAGATGTCTGGAAATCACACGTGCCTTTCCACTGCTTCCATAAATGCTACATGGCCTGTCCGAGCTGCAGGGTCCTCCAGCCTCATTTTAAGGAAAGAAGACAACCTTCATGCTTGGCTGGCCCTGCAAGATCTCTGTTTGTGCTTGGGATAGAGATCATTAAGCTGAGAAAGGACCAGGAACCTTAGCTCCAGCGATTTCAACAATTCACCCTTCCATATCCCCAGCTGAATAGCTGAAAAAACACTGAAAACTGTCTCAGCTGGGAACATATTAAAAGTATATTTCACTTGTGGGTTTAGGGGTTTTTTTTGGCATGGTACAAACCCCACCTAGAAAGTGGTTTCCCAGCATGAGTCATGGGATAGGCTAACAAGACGGGATTTCCTGATGCAGGACTTCAGAGCCTTCTGCAGTAGGCAAAAATCTAGTTTACAGCTTTTCTGCCTCTCCAGGTCCGCCCATTTTCAGGACTCAGTTACTTCTTTTACTTACCTTCCCTTTCTGCTGTATCTCAGTCTTTACAGACTCATCTTCGATTTCAGCTGCTTCATCTTCATCAGACACATCCTCAGCCTCCAGGTTGTTGTTCCCATTTGTTCCAGTGGGGTCCTCCTGCCTGCTCAGCTTCTTGCCTTTCACAAGGATCTTCCCTTTCAGTTGCTGCACAAGAAAAAACAGACAAAATAGCTAGTGATTAGAAAAGATTCTGGCCTGCCCTGAAGTAGCAAGGATATAACAGCTCCTCAGCTGCAACCAGGGCCAGGGCCCTTTAGAGTTGCATCAGTTTCTGGTTATTTTCAATAGATACAAATAAGTCTGGTTTTCCACTGAGGCCTTGCCCTGCCTCTGGCCAGTCTCTGAGACCACAAGCCTTGAGTCTGAAAACTCCAGATAGCCCATGGATTCCCCTCTGATACAGAGCTGTCCATCCCCTCAACTAGACAAATTCTCATGCTGTTAGTGGCAATAAAAATATATATAATGTTTTTCAAAACTGGATGTGGCTCAGCAAACAAGACCAAGCCTGGAGGTCAGGGCTCATGGGAATTATTTGCAGCACTGTCTCTGCCCCTCTGTGTGGCCCTGTTATTTAATCTACCCCAGTCTCTGCAATGTATGGTTATAAACACATGCATAACTTGGGAAATGGTATGAGATCCATGCAGGGACTGAAGCAGTGCAGCCCTCTGCTCCACTAGACAATTTAATGGGGAGAGAGGTCCATTAATTTCTGGACCAGTGCCTCGTCCATAGCAGACAGGGGATTCTAATATGTAAGCGATCTTGCAGGTGAAACCTTTGAGTGCTGACAGCCTAAGAAAGAGTTCCCAGACCCTTCCCAAAGATACCTCCTCTTCTGAAAAGAACTGCAACCATCGTGCAACACTAATAATAACCAGCAGCATGTGCCAGTGTAACACAGCTGGGTGCTGAGCTAATCCAAGGAACACATTTCTTGTGCTGAATCAATGCTCTCCAGCCTGTTTCAAAGTCCATGTAAAATCTCAGGTGAAGGAACACACCAACAGCACATGGTTGCTCACAGACCACCATACCACTGACATATCTCTTGTGCAAGATCTGACTGTGAGAGGAAGGATGAAGCCTGGAGAGGGCTGACTCTGAACCCAAACAAGGCAGCAGCAATGTTGGCAGCAGGGAGCAGTACTGAGAAGGGTGACTGCCTGGGTGCAGTCTCCAGGTGAGCAGATTATGCTACACAATCAGTTAATTCAGCCCAGGAGCACCCCTAGATACTGCAGTTTCCAGTGAAGTCAGCAGGAGATTTGCTGCCACATGGATGTGTTCGGTAGTCCTGGCTTTGGAGGGTGCTAGTTATTTCAGAAAAATGCAGTCTCAGAATTAGCCAATATAACCCCTCACTCTGCGTAGCATGTCTCCCCCCAGCTCAGTGGCACCCTGTATTTGCCCTTTCCACAACAGCAAAAGCCATGTTCTCAAATGACAGGACTGCGGAAAACCAAGGATATTTTATAAAGCGACACAGGCATTTTCAAAGAACACTATTCCCCCTTTGTGGGTGCAAGCAAATTGCATCACGTCTTTTCAGAGACCAGCCCAATGCCTCACCACCCAGCTAAGCTGTGGATGAAGCTTGGTTTGAGCTGAAATTTGAACTGGCATACGAGGCAGCAGCCAAGAGCATTTTTCTTCAGCTACCACAAATGATCTGTTTACATTGGGGCACTTTCCCTGTCACTCAAAAGCTACACAAAGGCAGCTGGAAGGAATGTACCAGTTACTGGGAATAAAAGGCCCAAAGGAGCAGTCAGAGCACAGCATTATCCTCCTCCCCATCCCCAGACCATCCTCCATCCTCCCAGCCCCTCTGCCCTCTTCCAGGCAGAGCTGTGACCTGCTTCTTCACATCCGTGGCCAGGAAATGAGTTGGCTCCTCTTCAGAGTCTCACGTCAGTCTGCTGCTTGCACCTCTCTAACCACCCTCCTGCCCTTAACATCCAGTTCTTCCTTGTGCTTCCACAACATCTACTGGTAGAAGGTGAAATCCATCTCTGTGTGAGTTTCTATACTCCTGTCAATACTCTGAATGGACAAGCCTGGAGGGATTGCACTGGGGACAGCGGGGAGGGGAGCAAAGAAGTCTCTCTTGTCCTTTGCAGGCTGCAGATAGCATCCTGCTATGTAATATATTATCTGCCTCTACTTTCTAACGTCCCATAAGAAACCTTACCACCTCTTCTCACAGCTCAGCAGTAGAGAACTAGGGATAAGGTATTTGGGGCAGGTTGCTTGATTCTTAATTACTAGCCCTTAAGCTTGTCCAGTTCAGGACAGCCTGTCCAGCAAGTGAGAGGTGTAATTTTTGGCACAAACCCATCCTAGATGGCTGAACAACATCAGCAGTGAAGGCACAGCAACAACAGCCTCCACCTTGTCTCCTCACCACACCCCTACCAGGGCTGCCAGCAGTGGGTCCTTGGGGCTGCTGTTATCCTGTCTAGACTGTGGTCACTCTGGGAAACCTTGGATACGCTGCAGATGCTCTCCACGGGCACAGGGACACTGGTCAGCCCAGGCTGTGTTATACAAGACTCTCTGTATGGCAATTACGGTCGTCCCCTTTTGGCCTTGAAATCTAAGAGGTTGTCTCCCTTCTGGAGTCCTGTTGCATTGCAGAGCTTTAGCATCTCCCTGTGCAGGTGACTTCCACGGTGCTTAGAAGGGAGAGCAGTCCATGTGCCACCTAACTCCAGAGGAGATGCACTAGCTTCTTGGTCCACAATGAGGGGTGAGATTCACCCCAAAACAGAGCATTTTCATCTCTATTTCCTGCAGAAGGTGCTATTTTGTAGTAGCATTGCACTAGACATTAGAAAGAAGTTTTTTACAATGAGGGTGGTCAAGCACTGGCACAGGTTGCCCAGAGAGGTGGTAGAGGCCCCATCCCTGGCAACATTCAAGGTCAGGTTGGACGGGGCTCTGAGCAACCTGATCTGGTTAAAGCTGTCCCTGCTCACTGCAGGGGGGTTGGGCTAGATGACCTCTAAAGGTCGCTTCCAACCCAAAGCATTCCATGATTCTATGATTCTATGAATCCACCCTGCGGAAGCTGCCAGTCTCAAACATTGTCTTTCTTCATTTAATATGGGTGCTAGGAAGCAAAGTCCTAAATTTGAGTGCTTATCTTCTTTAACAAGGTTTTAAATAAGCTGATACACACAGACACACACACACTTGTTCCATTTCTCTTGGTTCCCCTTCATGTGATACTAAGTATTTCTAGCCTGAGGCAAAAGACACTCAGCTCATCAGTTCAGCTCTGTTGAGCAGATCCCTTGTCTTAGGAAGAAGCATTAGCTGAAATACTTAATAAATATTCTCCAAGTACACCATAAAGCTATTCCAGCTGCCTGTGGCAAGCCCAAGGTTGAATACAACCTAAGAAAATTGGAAGGGCTACAAGGACATTGGACTCTACTGAGAACATACAGTACCGTGCCTGCTGGAATAGATGCAACTCTTTCACTACCTCACGC